ACTGAAAATAATACGATAGATGTAAAATATATTTATGGTCCACACAGGTGGTTATGTGTTCAAATCATTATATTAAATAAATAAATAATTAAGTGAATGAATGAATGAATGAATGAATGAATGAATGAATGAATGAATGAATGAATGAATGAATGAATGAATGAATGAATGAATGAATGAATGAATGAATGAATGAACGAACGAACGAATGAATGAATGGGTGAATAAATAAATAAATAAATCCAAAGACAATAACATCACAACAAGAAAACAACAATATATGTGCTATTACTTTTCCATGTAATGGTTTTGTTCGTGTTTGACGAAGTGTCGCTGCATAGGTGTCAGATCTCACCCCAACTTGGCAACGTTGTATATCTTTTTCTAAGATGCCTAGCGGTTAGAACAATCGAAAAGAAAATACATTATCAGACAATAAAGGTATAGTTTTTTGATGACGTAACAATTGAATGACGTTATCCCGTCACTACGCCATTCTAGTGTGCCCCCTCGTAATCGAACCATTTTACATTACGTCACAATGTAAGCGACGTCACGATGCATGTCAGTTGTCATCGCCTCGTACGGCCTCCTACACTAAACTACTCCGTTGCATCCCGTTTCTTCGTTTGCAGTTGCTTCACGCAGCTAACATCACTGGTGGAAACATTACGTTTATGTTTTACGACGGTTAAAATGTCTCCATTCGACTCACAAATTTTCAGCGACACGGTAACGTTCGCAATGTTTACATTCCCACAATGCAATCGTGGAATGTCGCTTGACTACTCAGCTTCATCTGGATGTACTGATCTAAACTTACGTTGGTAGTAGAAATGCGACGTTCATATTGCCCCATATGGTTTACGTTAATGAAAGATGTAATTAAGATAATTCAGAGAAGATATTTAATCCGAACGTAAACCGTCATCAAACTGTTATCATTTGTTTTTTCTGGTAACGTTCGTCTTAACGTAGGGGGCAGACACATCAATAGAACAGCGCACCAGTTAGCCCTGTGCGAGGATTCTTAATTTAGGTCAGCGACACCGTCGTTTGTTTTCTGCCTTAAATTAATCGTAATTATCCTTAGAAAGTATTAAATATAGCATCTTAGAAAAGATGTAAAGTTCGCTCTACCCCAATGTGTTTTGTAATAAAGTATAGTTTTGCCCTGATTTATTATAACATCAAAGCACTCGAACTACCGTCCTCGTGCTTTAATTATAATAGTTCAGGGCAAAACTATACTTTATTACAAAACACATTGGGGTAGAGCGAGCATTGGGGTATAGTTTTGCCCTGATTTATTATAACATCAAAGCACTCGGACTACCGTCCTCGTGCTTTAATTATTATAGTTCAGGGCAAAACTATACTTTATTACAAAACACATTGGGGTAGAGCAAACTTTATTTCCTAAACCCAGACACCGCTTGGGTATAATTTACCCTTTGTTCAAATATACTGTCACGAAAGAATTTAAAATGAAAATTCCTCAGTGGACAAGGCTTGCCCGATAGCCGATACACGTAGGGCATGACGAATAGTTTGAATTGAAATTAGTATCCCATTTGTGTTTCTCCCTTTCATACCTTCGACGGCTTATCTTAGTTGATACACAACGCCGGTGGAGCTCTTTGTCAGGTATAACAAGTGGGTGGGTGAGTTGAGCTGACACGACTTTGAATTCGTTTTAGTAATTTCGCGTTTACGTCACATCCACAGTGACCAGATATCCCGATGTCTCCTTCGCCACACCCGGAATGATTGCATTGGCTGGTCACGAATTCGTTATATCCGGAGTGATTGGAGTTCTTGATCTCTTAAGTCGTCACATCCACAGTGATAGAATTTCCAGATGACCAGTTCGCCACATCAGGAGTGGCTGGATTGTCTGAGCACTAGTTCGTTACATCCAAAGTGGCTGGATTGTCCGATCACTAGTTCGTCACATCCAAAGTGGCTGGATTGTCCGATCACCAGTTCGTTACATCCAAAGTGGCTGGATTGTCCGATCACTAGTTCGTCACATCCAAAGTGGCTGGATTGTCCGATCACTAGTTCGTTACATCCAAAGTGGCTGGATTGTCCGATCACTAGTTCGTCACATCCAAAGTGGCTGGATTGTCCGATCACTAGTTCGTCACATCCAAAGTGGCTGGATTGTCCGATCACTAGTTCGTTACATCCAAAGTGGCTGGATTGTCCGATCACTAGTTCGCTACATCCAAAGTAGCTGGATTGTCCGATCACTAGTTCGTTACATCCAAAGTGGCTGGATTGTCCGATCACTAGTTCGTTACATCCAAAGTAGCTGGATTGTCCGATCACTAGTTCGTTACATCCAAAGTGGCTGGATTGTCCGATCACTAGTTCGTCACATCCAAAGTGGCTGGATTGTCCGATCACTAGTTCGTTACATCCAAAGTAGCTGGATTGTCCGATCACTAGTTCGTTACATCCAAAGTGGCAGGATTGTCCGATCACTAGTTCGTTACATCCAAAGTAGCTGGATTGTCCGATCACTAGTTCGTCTTCTCAAGAGTGACGGTATTTAGGAGATAATCCTATTGTGTTTACATTTTGAAAATGATTATAGTTGGTTGAACGCTGCTAAATGTCATTTAGAACCGAACGCGTGAGGTTGGTAGAACGCTGCTAAATGAAACGTTTAGCAGCGTTCAACCAACTATAATCACTTCCAAAATGTAAACACAATAGGATTATCTCTATTCTACCATGACATATGCACCATGAATAAAACGCGTTTTAAATATGCACTCATAGCCCTTGCGTAGTGTTTTGACACTACGCGCAGTGAACCGGCTTTTAGAAGTGGTTATTGAAAAATTTTCACTTCTAATTTTTTAGTAACAACCAATCAAAAACTAACATACCTAAATGTCATGGTAGAATGTCTGATGACTAGTTTGTCCCGCCCAGAATACCGACAATGTGTCCAAAGTGACTTGACTGTTTGATGCCTAATACCTAGGTGCGTTATACCCAGGTGTGTAATACCCAGGTGTGTAATACCCAGGTGCCTAATACCTAGGTGCCTAATACCCAGGTGCCTAATACCCAGATGCCTAATACCTGGTGTGTAATACCCAGGTGCCTAATACCTAGGTGTGTAATACCCAGGTGCCTAATACCTAGGTGTGTAATACCCAGGTGCCTAATACCTAGGTGTGTAATACCCATGTGTGAAATACCCAGGTGCCTAATACCTAGGTGTGTAATACCCAGGTGCCTAATACCTAGGTGTGTAATACCCAGGTGCCTAATACCTAGGTGTGTAATACCCATGTGTGAAATACCCAGGTGCCTAATACCTACGTGTGTAATACCCATGTGCGTTATACCCAGGTGCCTAATACCTAGGTGTGTAATACCCAGATGCCTAATACGTAGGTGTCTAATACCTAGGTGCGTTATACCCAGGTGTGTTATATCCAGGTGCCTAATACCTAGACGCCTAATACCTAGGTGCCTAATACCTAGGTGTGTAATACCCACGTGCCTAATACCTAGGTGTGTTATATCCAGGTGTGTAATATCCAGGTGCCTTATACCTAGGTGTGTAATACACAGATGCCTAATACCTAGGTGTGTAATACCCAGATGCCTAATACCTAGGTGTGTAATACCCATGTGTGAAATACCTAGGTGTGTAATACCCAGGTGCTTAATACCTAGTTGTGTAATACCCAGGTGCCTAATACCTAGGTGTGTAATACCGAGGTGCCTAATACCTAGGTGTCAAGGTTGCATTCAAAATGTAAAACCATGAAGAAAAGTTGCTTTTTAAAATGGCGACCCAACATTTTGAAGAACCTTAAAGAAATTTAAACCAAGGACATAACAGAAGAACGAGACAATACGCGTGTTAAGTAGCAGTAATAAACACAGACGATCACGTATATATGATATTTAGATCCTGTAATCCAGGGTATTTGTGTCGTGTGAGGTTCACAATGACATACGGTCAGGTAAGGTTACAGGTAACCTGTCGTGAAAAGTGACACCCGACTAGCTACGGGTTGAGTGTGTGGAGACTTTATACAAATATTTCTACATCGAGTTGTTTTTCACCTGGTTAATATTTTCCCTTGTACCTGAATTTTCGTAACGTTGCTTAAATAACAGCGGAGGATTGTCATCGTTGAAAGGGGTCTTACACATGCGTTACATAACTCGTTGATTCACATTCGTGTCAAGACTTGACAAGATATGGCAATGATGATGATGGTGATCATGATGATGATGATGATGATGATGATGATGATGATGATTTCATAAGCGACATTCTCCCCATCGAGTGAATGCTCAATACGATACATTCATTACGTAACGAGTCAAGGGATCAACGCGCATTCAAATTAATTGTTTGATCGGCATTCTAGAAGTTGGTGAAATGAAACACAACTTTATGGTTGACAATTTCTTGTTTATTGCATAGAGCGACGTTTCGAAGGACATTCATACACCGTTATCAAGCTAAGAATGTTTCATTTTTGCATTTAAATTTCAACACAACACAAGCTGCCTTTTGAAAGTTGACAGTTACAACACGTCTCATCCTGCCGGGTACCCACAAACGGCAGGGCTATATTTCGAAAAAAGCCACGTCACATTTCAATTGTATACAGGTTGGGACAAGACCTGGCTTCTTGAAACAAAAGCTTGTCCCAAACGACGCAATGAAAACCACTTGAAGACGTGTCAATGATTTGTTTAACAAATTTAACATTATACATTTTGTGTGAATTTAACATACAGTTCATAATAACAGACAGGCGAGACGACTTGTGTTAATATTGGTGTGTCTTAGGCCACCCCTTACAACAAATACAGGTGAGAGTTGGTAAGAACCTAAACCGAAACGTCGCTCTATGCAATAAACATGAGGTCGTATTCGTTATTACAGGGGACAGTTGTAATGAACGATAAAACAACAATATATACAAGAATACACAAACAAGATATATACTCACACGTGTAGCCAACTGAGACAGCTAGAACCACCACAGCGACAAAAATAGGTAGGTAGGGAGAGACAGCCATTTTGTTGTCCTTAAACCTCGCGCGTTGAAAAGCAAACAATATGCCTATGTCAACACAGATCATCAAAATATAGAACGCAAGGCGCGGCTCCTCGATACGGCGCGTTTTGGAGCTCGCTTTCTCTGTTTCGTTTTAAGGGCTATTCGTTCGTGACAAAACGTGTGCAGAACGTGTTGAGCGCGATGAAAGGTATTTGAACCGGATGTGTGTTGAATAGAGGAGTCACTTATACTGTTGACTCACTAAACATAACAGACACGTCAGGTTCGTTTGGTAGTGTTCCGGGCTATAGATAAACTTTATCTCAAGCTCAGAATAAATGTGACAAAGGATGGGTCTTGTAATAGACTCGGGGAAATTAGAAATGATAGTGTCCCACGCAATGACATGCTTGAGTATTTATGGCTGATCAATTTCTTTTGTGGAGGAGGAACACCCCAAAATGGGCTTCACACATTGTACCCATGTCGGGAATCGAACGTGACGAGTGGACACTTAAACCATTAGGCTATCCAACCTGTTTTAACTAAATAAGTGAGTGAGTGAGTGAGTTTAGTGTAACGCCGCACTCAGCAATATTCCCGCTATATGGCGGCAGTCTGTAAGTAATCGAGTCTGGACCAGACAATCCAGTGATCAACAGCATGAGCATCGACCTGCACAATTGGGAACCGATGACATGTGTCAACCAAGCCAGCGAGCCTGACCACCAGATCCCGTTAGTCACCTCCTACAACAAGCATGGTTTACTGAAGGTTCATTCTAACCCGGACCTTCACGGGTAATTTTAACTAAATAAGATACAAAGGATATACCTTAAATATTGTAAATATAGAATTTTATGTCAAGTATACAATGAAATATATCATACATTGTGTCTGCATTGGAGTGGATATTGTAAGCTCCCGGTGTGACTCAAAAGTAGGCCCCAGCAACCTGTTTATCATATGAGGCCACTTACTCATCATAGCATAGCATAGCATAGCATAGCATAGCATAGCAGTATGATATGGGCACGAATATAATATTCTGTTTATAACCGAAGTCGTCAAATTGAAGAAAATAAACCCAAATTTACCTTGAAAAACAGGCTGGCTATCCGCCGTCGCCGCATGTAAAACGCAACATCACAGAAGAAACGTGACGTCATAGCATTGTTCATGATGATTATATACATGCGGCAACGGTGGGTAGCCAGCCTGTGTTTGAATGTAGATTTGGGTTTATTTTCCTCAATGTGACGACTTCGGTAATAAACAGAATATTATATTCGTGCCCATATCATACTATGTTTACGACACTCGTGCCTAAATATCGGTATATCTCTCGCTCTCGCTCGGGAAATACCAACATTTAGGCGCTCGTGTCGTAAACATAGTATGACATTGGCACTCATATAATATCCTCTATGTATTGTATTATATCATCACTCGTGTTGTGAGGTGACGGCAGCAAACCATGACTGACACCCAAGAAAAGCGTGTCCTCCAAACGCAACCGATATTAGTCGACGAGCAGCTTATTATCCCGCTTCCATTACATGAAATCCTCCCTGTGCGAATATTTGGTACCAGGAAGACGGATCACGGTCCTTTTGACAGTTACAGGAAGTCTATCTGCCAGAGTCGTATTGGGATTTTCAACTATTTATGGATTTAAGGATTCGTTTGACCAACTTAGGATGATTGATTAAAAACACCTGCAGTATCGTATTGATAACACTCACAGAAACTACTTGACACGGTAAAATCAGTGTGATATGATTCACACTGTATTGATAGTGTCCTATTGCTTTTGTAATCGACTCAACTGTCTAGGGTAATATTTCTCATGGATGTGGAAAGGGTTTTGTTGCATGTATTGTATACGGCCGAAATATGATATACGGGCTAGAATTGATCTTGCACAACCCATGTCTGTCGTACGAGATGACTAACAGCAGTCAGTCTCGGTTACTAGTATTTGGCTAATGCATGTCGTCGAAACCCAGTTGCTAAGATTGATACTCATGGTGTCAGTCACTTGACTGTCTGACACAGACTCGATTATTTACAATTATTTCCATCATAAAGATGGAAAAGTGCGGCGTTAATCAACAAACAAAGAAATGTAAGCAAATGCAAAATTTTTTAAAGGCAGCCACGGAGACGGTTTTAGTATGTATCCCAGTTATAGCCTCCAGAGATTAGCTCTGAGGAAAAAAGACTGGTTGGTTGGTTGTTGTTTAGCTCCGCACTCAGCAATATTCCAGCTATATGGCGGCGGTTTGTAAATAATCGAGTCTGGACAAGACAATCCAGTGATCAACAGCATGAGCATCGATCTCATAATAAAAATAATACATCTGCTAACACATGAAGAGACAACAGTGACAGTCAAGTAGCTTAAGGGATTCCGTGAAAGCAAATCATGTATTCTTTTGTGTTTATATGTTAAAGGAGTTAAAAATGTTTGGTTCTAATCTGAATATTAATGTGAAAGCTATTTTTAGCTCAAAGTCCAAGATGGCCGCCATAATTTAAAAGGGAACTGAAAAAGTTGCAAAAACCTGGAACAAAACAATGTTTTTAATATCAAATACCATGCATATTTGGTTAAGGAATATATTTCTTATATGCTGTAAGTCACCACATCTTTTAAGTTTGATTTTAGTCTTAAATTTACATATAAGAGTTATGTTTAGCTCTAAAAGTCATAACGATGAATAAAACCCCCATTTCTGCACAAGGCATATATTTCATATAGAACTAGTACAATATGAAAAAGGAATATACAACTTACCCTGTTTATCAACTATAGAAGAGGTCTTTACATGAAACTGCGATTCAGAATATACTCTTTAAAAATGAAACGCATAAGCCATTTTTAGAGGAATTTCTTGCGTTAGTTTAAGAGCAATTATTTCATGTCATCCCAATGGTAAATAGGTGAAAATTCAAACGTCTATAGACAAAGCCTTTACTGTTGTGTTTCTGTTTACCCGAGTCCACAAGATGGCGTCAAAGTCAGTACCTTGTATGGCCACCATTGGCAGCAATTACTGCTCTGCACAGACTGGATAAGTTGACGAAGTAGCTCTTATTATCGTAGGCGACTTCAATTTCCATTTTGACAACAAGGATAACCATGACACTAAACGAATACGTAATCTTCTTGAAGTTCACAACTGTGTACAACTCGTGTCAGAGACAAGCCACAGAGGTGGACACACTCTGGGCTGGATAGTTACCCGTGCTTCAGACGCGTGTGTCGGTTGTGTATCTGTATAGGATCTACATACAGCTCTCTGACCATTTCCATATCTTTGTGAGCTTGGACCTCTCAATACCCAGTCCAGATGTGATGATTACTCGCTGTTGGAACATGCGCTCCCTGGATATGGATACTTTTAAAGACAATTTGCTAAACTCAGACCTTATACTTGAGCCACCATCTGCTGATGAGAGTCTCGTTCTGCTATACAATAGAGTTCTGTCTGAGCTGCTAGACAAACATGCACCAGTGAAGGACAAAGTCATACCAGACTTTACACCTGAAGTTCGACAAGCAAAAGAAGACAAGAGGAAAGCAAAATGCAGATGGAAAAAACTCTTTCCGGGAGATTCATCGCCAAATGTATATTTCAGCAAGAAATCATTCAACAACGGTCATCAGACAAATCAACATCCCAATTCTAAGATTGAAGCCAACGAGTCAAGTCCAAAGTTGCTGTTCAATCTTTTGTTCAGTATCTTGGGTAAACACTTTGTATCGCCACTTCCGACAGCTGATGACAATGAAGGAATAGTACAGACTATTTTCGGATTATTTCTACAAAAAGATCCAAGACATTCATGACAAGATTTCGTCTTCTGAGGCTGATATTCCTCTAAAAATGTTTGATGGCACGCCTCTTACAATTTTGATAGTTTCAGTGAAACTAAAGTTACTGAACTATTGAAATCTGCAAAAAGAACAACTTGATCCGATTCTAACTGACATTCTATATTACTGTCTCGACGTACTCTTACCAACATTAGTGCTGATTATTAACTCTTCTACTTCATCTGGTTATGTCCCAAGTGTACTCAAGTCAGCTCTAGTTAGTCTAGTTAGGCCACATCTGAAGAATTCAAGCCTTGATTGTGAAGATAAAAAAAACTACAGGCCTGTTTCAAACTTAGCGTTTATATCCAAGCTCATTGAACGTGCAATCTCCAGTCATATCATGCGCCACCTTCTTGGCATAACCTCTATAAGGTGTTCCAATCAGCCTACGAGCACACCACAGCATAGAGACGGCTCTGCTGAAGATCCTGAATGACCTTTGGTGTGGTATTGACACAGGACAAGTGGCCCTGCTCACATTACTTGACCTAAGCAGAGCCTTTGACATGATTGATCACCAGAGACTCCGCAAAAGACTTGATACAGAACTTGGGTTCAGCTTTATCCTGGCCGGCATCTTATCTACAGGACAGGACTCAAACCGTCGTTGTTGGTGAGTCTGTGTCAACCGCATCTAGACTTGAGTGCGGAGTCCCTCAAGGATCCGTGCTTGGTCCGTTCCTCTTCACCCACTACACTGTTCCACTTGGCTCTGTTGTAGCAGACCACAGTCCTGACCACTTCTACGCAGATGACACGCAGCTGTGGAAGTTATTTCAACCAAACACAGAGTCAGTTAGAGCGTCTCTCCATCAGACATTAGACTGTTGCCAGAAGATAGTCATGGATGTCATCAAATGCCTTGAAATCAAATTAACGGAAAACAGAGTCCATTCTTCTGGGATTGGCTGGAAAACGCAAGCAATGTGACATTTCTAGTGCGTCTGTCTGTGGAGCAACCATTCCTCTTCTCTTTCTTCCACTGTCAACGATCTGGGTGTTGTCATCGATCAAGATCTAAGTATGACAGAACATGTCAAATATGTTACTAAAACTCGCTACTCCCATCTCCACAATATCAGCAAGGCCAGACCGTTCTTACCAAAGATGCCTCCAAAACTCTCTGCCTCAGCCTAGTCACATCTCGTATCGACTACTGTAACAGCCTTTTGGCCGGATCTCCATCTTGTGTCACTGACCAACTCCAACGCATACAGAATTTAGCTGCTCGCATTACCTCCCAGAT